TTGCCCTGCATGAGCTGAGGTGGTACAACTCCAAGGAGTAGGCCAAAGAACTCCTTCCAAGGCTTACTCAGGTATGACTTTTGTGATGACTTGTAGCAGCGTCAGATTACCAGAGAGCACAAGAGATCTTGCTGCTCAACAGCAAGGAGAAATTAAGGTAGTCCTTCTCAGCAGAGGCATTCAATAGCCAGTCCCATGAGCTAGTCCATCTAGAAAGAGCTACGGGCCTGGGAACAAGGATTGGAATCCTAAACCACAGGTGAGTCCTTGCCTTTCATACAACACAGAAGCAGCAACCAATTATTTATCAGTGTGGTGTAGTGGTTTGGCACCCAGGTTCTAGAGTCATACTGTCTGAATTCAAATCCTGAGTCCAGCATTTATGAGCTGGGTGACCTTATGAGAGTTTCTTAATTTCTCTAAATTCGTTTCTTCAGCTATAATATGGGAATATTGACCATACCTATACCTCATAGAGGGTTCAGTGACTTTATGTATGTTACCTGTTAGAACAGTGCCTGGCACAGAGTAGGTGCTCAATGAATGTTAGCTAGATTATCAGTCTTTCTGCTCCTTGTAGGACATTAGAGATCATATTATGGTTTGTCATTAATATTTTGCCATTTACTAATGAACACGAAGGGCAAATTATTAAGAATTTATAAAATCAGTTTTTTTTCTTCCAAATGCAAATAACAATATCTCATGGGTTTTATGAAGATTAGTGGAATAACAGGTATAAAACACCATCTGGTATGTTCTTGGGGATCAGTACAGGGTAGGTATTATTATCAGGCCCTGATGGCCTGGTATCTGGCAGAGCAGTCTGACAGAAGTTTTGTTGATTAGAAAAATGATCCATAAGTCATCCAATATTGTAGCCAGTAGCCAGTTGTGGCTACTGAGCACATGAAAGGTGGCCTGTACAACTGAAGAACTAAACTTTTAATTTTGTTTAATTTTAATTAAAATATCCACATATGGCTTGTGGAGAATGTACTGAACAGCACAGGCTGGGTGGTTCAGGCCTCATACGGTCCACTTCATACCCTGTCTAAGTTCACGTCATTGACCAGGGGCTGGACAGGAGTGAAGAGAGGATGTAAACCCAGTTTCGGCAGGTCGTATTGTGACACAACAGAAAGAAGACAAGTCAGCCCGTCAACGGGGACCACTCCACCCCCAGCTCTTGGGCAAGTTGCTTAACCTCATCTTCAGAAGGGAAGATGTGATACCTAACTTCAGAGGTCCCACTCATCACATGATCACTAAGGGGAGAACATGTTACACAAGCTTTGATTATTTTTTGGGTGCTTATGGGTTGCACTCAGCCATCTCCAAAATTTAAAGTTGGTGTATATAAATGTTGGTATACAAATGAATATAACTAAATAGAGATCAAATTGAGTCCAAAGAAAAATTAATTTGGGGGCAAAAGATAAGGACTTTGATGGGAAAAAAATATGTGGACAGAGTGCTCCTAATGTACCCTTATACAGGTGTCTGCTGTGCAGCAATATGGGTGAGAGTGGAGAGTGCTGGGGGAGGCTTGACCGGTAAGGACTTTGGATACATAAACCCATAATATGATTTATTATCCCCAGCTGAGTACAAAATGGGAAGGAAATTCTGCAAAACAGATCTAGAATCCACCTTGGGTAGAAAATGCACGTGGCAAGGAGCCTAGAGGCTCATATTCCTTCTCTGGATCTGTGACTAACCAGCTGGATGACCTACATACACTTCAACTGGCTAACTTCTTTGGGCCACAGATTATTCATCTGTGCCATAAATTGGTTGGACTCTACTTCTACAAGCTTGGAAAATCTGTGATTATGCTTAAAGTCCTAGAAATTTCAAAGATGCTCTCTTTGCCAAGAGCTGAACGTGTAAGAAATTACAGCAGCTGAACTAGGTAACTACATCTCCCCTCCCTCCCCTGCCCAAACACACACACATAGCTCCTGCCAACAGGTACACATATTTTTTAATCTGCTGCAGAGTGAAGCCGTGACCTGTTGGATATGACCTCTCAGTCCCTACCTAAGGCAACTATGGATGATAGGTGATGGGATCCCACTTGGTTATAAGCGTAATTCTGATTGATTAGCCTTGGTAGTACCCAAAGAGTTTTCTAGATTTTTTAAAGAGACAGAGCAAAGTAATTCCTCAAACTATCAGGGTGGTGGTGTAAGTATGTGTGAAAGGCAGAGTGAAAAACAACCACCTGCTCTATAAATGGTGAAATATAATACACATTGTTGTCATTTGGGGTAAGCTGGTTATACAGCAGTGACTTTCAGAATAAGAAAACCACCCAGGATAATTGAGTTTATGAATCTATTTGACTAAATCATCTTTTTGCCACCATTTTTATAGTCTCGAAGTTCACAAATTGCTTTGAAACTCAGCCCCTCTTCCTCTGCTTGTCCCAAGGCTGCTTGCTACATGATAAATAGCTCTCCATGCCCTCTCTTTTCTTCTCACATTCCTCTCCATCCATGACGATTCTTTCCTGAGAGTAGGGTGGGAATCTTTACTCAACAGTCCACCTGCCTGGACCCTATATCTAACAACAGAAAATACTGGTTTTCAAGAATGCCTAGGGAGTGATTCCTTTAGACGTGCACATACTTTTTCAGAACAGAAGTCCCCTGGAGGCAGTACGAGCTGGACCTTGAGCCCTAATAACATCAGGATGAAGCTGAAGAGGCTCCAACCAAGTCCACTCTCCATGTTCATCCTGCTGCTTCTCATGTTCACTGAGTCCTTCAGCACTCAGGCTGGTGGCAGTGCACTGAGCAAACAGCCTTGCTTTCTGCTTCCCAGTGACAGCCTGTGTCACTGACCTTCCCAGTCAGGACAGGACCCTTCTCCTTTGTTGGGGCCCTCACAACTCAGTGTAGGGCTCTTTTATTAGTTTGGCAGGTGATCTAAGTGAGGGAGGAAAGAAGTGGCATGATATGCATATAGTTCATTCAGGAAACAAAGTGGGAAAATGTATCCATAGTCATTTTCTACTAAAAGGTTGCAAAATTCTTCAGGCGCTTTTGAGAGGAAGCCATCTCCCTGCTTTAAACCTAGATTTCTGGTACATGAAGGCCAGAAGGGATTTCTAGATCATGAAAACTTCTATTGGTAGGCAAAAGGGCCTGAGAGAGATTAAATAACATGCCCAAAAGATCACACATTGCAAAGCTAGTTAGGCGAATTTCAGGACTACAAGCTGGATTAACTAATTCCCTTCTCACCCACCCTGCACCCCACCCCTCTGGGCCAGATCTCACTGTTCTCTCTCTATTACTCCCTTTCTCCCTTTCTCTGTTTCTCTCCTTAATCATCTTTAAAAGTGACCTTCAGTGGGCCTAGGAAAAATAATAAATCTCTGAAAGAGACAAAGAAGATTGGCAACCTGTTTTTTAGCTTCTCTTTCTTTCAAGATATTCAGTGTTCTGGCTTTGCCCAGGAAATAAAGAGAGAAGAAAAAGAGAACCAGGTACCTTTAAAAACAAAAAAGCAAAGAAGACATTTCTTTGAAGTGTGTGTGTGTGCGTGTGTGTGTGTGTGTAAAACCAGGGCCACGTATCTTTTGGAATAAGCTAGGTAAAAATGTAAATAGCCTCCTATTAGGTGGCACATACAGAAAGAGGCCTCATTTGCTTATTCCAGTCTTTAGAAACTTTAATAATCAACATTGGGGCAAATGATTCTCTCCACTGCAGAGCCTGGATCTCTGCTTTTCTGTTTTGCAAAATCATCCCAGTTCCTTTGGGCTTCGCCTGGCTTTCCCCCAACCCTTGCCAAGTTGTCTCTCTTCCATTATTAGTCATCCTAATAAACACTCCTAATAAATACAAAGCCTATAAACCAATCCAAGATGCTACTTATGGCTCTTATGATGCCTTTAGGGAAGACTGATACCTGCATTAACTTTATCATCTGTCCTGGAGAAACCCAGCTGAGATCTCTAACATATTCTGTTGCAAGCTGCAATATAATGGACATATTTAGTGTACATTCTCTTGTTAAATGGAATCTGCATTCCTAAGTGAACTAAAAATGTTTAATTATTAATAAGTCCCCCCGGGACTGGTGACATTTGGGATGATTTTATCATGCGGTAGATATTTAACAACATAATATATATGGTGGTATCTTATTCAACCTTTTTTAAAAGAACATTCCCTCCTAATTTGTTTTGACTCATACGCCTCATAGATTAGTCCCTGAACATCCAGCCCCCAGTGGAGGTAGAGGGAAGTTCCTGAGAAATAGGATAGGATCGATGTTGGAGCTACTGAGCAGCGGGTGTGAGGAGGATGCACTCCGGAGCTGCCTTCTGGGAGTTGGAATTGGTTTGGGGCAAACTGCAAACTAGATTCAGGTGGAGACAATGGTGGCAACAGACAGAAATTTCTGGGAAGATCACAGAACTGCAGATCACAGGACTCGGTGCCAGGCTTCCAGTTCTGCACCAGATTGCTGTTTGACTGAGAGAATGACTTAACATCTCAGAGACAGAGCTTTCTCATATTTTAGAAGGGGTTAGTACACATTTCTTAACTACCTTACTTAAAATTGTGTGCAGCATATATGAAGTACTTCCAACAATTATAAGGAATGTATTCAAAGATGGGGAAGAAGGAAATAATATTTACTAAGCACTCTGTATATATTCAGGGTTGTGTTCAATACTTTTACAAACACAAATTCAACTAGTCATAGCAAAAACCTCTGAGATAGGCCTGATTGTCCCATTTACAGAGGAGGAAGTTGAGGCTGAGATCTTTTGCCTAAGGTCCCAAAGCTGGCAAATGGCAGAGCCAGGCTGAGTATAGTATGTATCTGAGTAGACAATATGTAAAGGGAAAATGGGTCACAATTTTAATTTTTAAATAGAAATGTTCAATCTAAGCAGTTAGTCAACTTATACATGATAATATGCATTATCACAACATATGAACATTAGCATGAAATTTTAATTATTTTATTAACTTTATTTTACAGTGTCTTTCTCTGCATAGTTCTGACATTAAGGAAGGAAAATCTCTAAATACAGTGTCAAAAATAGGTTTTTAAATAAAGCAAATGTCTTGATGTGTTTATGGTGGGTTGACCAATGATACTGAGCTTCCCACTCATTACTTCCCTGTTTCTGGTATATCACTGCAAGACGGGAGTTTCTGCCACCAGTGGTAACAATTGCTTCTTTCTCCGCCACTTCTGTTCAGGCCCTTGGGTTCTGCTCCAGGATGGTGTCTATCCCATTTAAACACAAATGCTTTGCACACCATAGGTCCTATTTGCAGTGTTCTGCCTGGAGAGGAAGTTTGACAGCTGTTTGTGAGAGAGACAAAGTGGAGCAGGGTTTGGAGCAAGAGACCAGAAGCCAGTCCCTCCCCTGCTCCCTCGGTAACCTTGCTTCTCCTTTTCATGCTTCCTTTTCTCCATCTGTTGGTAGAAAGAGTGATACATGATATCTTGCTCTCAGGGTGTCGTGAACGCCTTTGTAAAGCACTGGGAAATGTGGGAAGGGGCCTAAAAGACTTCATGCTTCCCTTTATGTAGTAAAATAAAATCCCATCCAATGGTTTAAAAATTACATAATATATATATTTTTAACTACGAAAATACTCTTATACCTGAAAAAGTACTTGCATTTCTTTATCAGTGATGGTGCTCCACGAAACCCTCTTCAATGTCTGGACCTAAATATTCATTTGAATAATAAATAAATACAAGCATGTAAAAGAGCACAAGTGGCTGCTATTACTACTACCAGTTTACACCTTAACTACACAGTGCATTTCCTTAGTCCAACATTTTTAGTGTGCTTGATCTCTTGTTTTCACCACATACACACACACACACACGGTAGAGTTGCAGGGAGATGGTATTTTACCCCTATTTTATAGATGGCAACACTTAAACCAGGAAAAGTAAGTGGATTGCCAGTCCACACAGATAATTAGGGGCAGGGTTAGGAAAATAATCTCTCTCCTGTCTCAAAATCTGGTTCTTATCCCTTTGAACTTCCTTTCTTATAATGCTGAAGACTCAACTTTTTTCTCTTTCTTTTCTTATATGTACTTTTTTCTCCACTTACTGATATAACCAGGCTCTAGGTGCCTTCTCCACATTCCTCCTCCCAGGAACAGACTCCTCTAAAGCAACGCTCTCACTGCTGATATCCTCAAGTAAGGTTTGCAGTAAAATGGGAGCTCAGACATGACTGTTTGCTTGTTAAGCTTGTTTCTCATTGCAGCCCAAAGAATAATCTGCCAAAAATCACATTACTGAGTCACTGGGACCTCCAGACTGCTCTGAGTGGAGGAGCCAGCCAGGCTGCACAAGTAATATTCATGCTGAAATAGCCGCGTCATGATGCTATTACAGATGTGTGTTTGCTTTGTATGTGCTCCTAAAGTGTAGCCAGGCTTAAGAATCAGAAGGGAAAGCATGATTTGAACACCAAAAGAGAACTTTAAACTGTTACTTTTTTCCTGTGGGGAATTAAATTGCAAAGATCATCAGAGGCTGATGCAGAAACCCAGCAGAGCTGCAGCCAATGAGGCACTGACTCCATTCTTTACACATATCCAACGACTTAGTTCTCTGCAAGCCCTTTCCCAGTGCAGGTTGCTATTACAATTCCTTCCAAGTAAGTACCCCCGCCCAATACCACTAGGCAAAAGCCGTTCTACTGACAGTTTTAAACAGTGAAACAAAGGGGAGCCCCTTTGCCAAGGGAAACCCCAACGCAACAGGCGGCTGGCTAAGCCATTGCTGCTGGCCAGTGTCTGGTTACCAAAGCTCAGACAGAAAGAACAAGCCCTCCAGAAACTGTTCCTGTCTGCCCCACTTGAGCTGCTCCTGCCAGGGCCAGCATCCCTGGGAAATTGCCCTGTAAAATGAGCAGCGCCTTTTCAACAGCAGACTCCCAGCTGCTCCCCACCTCCGAGGCTGCTGTTGGGCATGACCGAGCAGCTGGCCTGGCCTTGATGGGCTCTCTCCTGCTGACGGCCCATTAGGAACCGGAGTGGGAAGGCACAGGTAGGCAGAAGCCACACGGGCAGCTCTAGGTGGTACACCTGTCCTCCCTGAAAGGGACAGAGAGGATAGATGAAAGAATAGAGGGGAAGTGAACTCAACAGTCCAAGCAGGTTTATTGCTGAACCTGAGAGGGACCCCTCTGTCCTGGCCAGCAGAACAAAGGAAAAAGAGGGTCTCTTACAAGCCAAGAGGCTTTTTATGGCCAGGGCTTTGGCAGGCTCTTTGAGGGGAGGGGTCAGGGGAGAGGTGGGCTTGTGGCTTGCTGACATGTCCTCTGGAGGATGCTTGTAGCCTAGAGAAGCTGACACCTAGGTCTCTCTGAGATGGTGGATGGGCTTATTCGAAAGGCAGTCCTCAGGCCCAGATTCTATCAATCCCCATCTACACTTCTCCAGCTTCAGATTGATGGGGTTTTGATTTGAGGATTGGGTGCCCTTCTCAAGCATTTCAATCTCCCCTCATTTTGTGAATAGCTCTGGGCACCTTCAGCCAGCCTAAAGCCCTGCTGGGAAACAGCATGCTGTGGCTGGCCTCCTCCAGGAGCCAGAAGGGCCAGATCTGGCCCAGAGCCAGGCTCTGAAGAAATGGCAGAGGGCAGACAGAGACAGTGGGTGGGGCTGGGAGCCTTGTGTTACACATTCAAAGCCTAATTTTGGATCAGAGTCATACTTGTAGCCAAGCCTGAAAGATCACTGAGGCCCCAAAATGAACCCACAGCTCTGAGGCAGGGCATGGGCGAATCCCCAGTCCTCCTACCCACATGCTGCGCTCCTTACAGAGGTTCATTTAGGCTTGTTTGAGTTCCTATTTTTTTATAGTAACTGTCCTGCCTCATGCTAGCTGAGGGGCAGTGCCTGTTTCCTACCCCATTTCTCTGTACATGTTCACAAACTGCCTCAGCTGAGAGGCCGACCTTCTGAAGCGTTTGTTCCTCTTGCTACTGGCCCCCTGAGTTCAGCCCAGGACACACCATCCTGCCTGAGGTGGCACCAGCACAGACAATAGGCCAGCCGGGGGAGGGCAGCCGCAGGTGACATACCAGACACCTTCATATTAACCATAAAAACGACCCTGTCTGACACAGGAGAGAGAGGAAGCCAGACAGGCGCTGGCCCCTGAGTGCCACAAGAGAGAGAAGGGCTGCTCCCTCATCCTCCAAGGGTGTGGGCACTTCCTTCGGAGAACTCGCTGCTGCCAAGAGCAGGCTGTTGCCTCCCTGGAACTCCGGTATCAGGACGCTTGCTTTGCAGAGCTGGCCAGCCAGCAGCCCGGAGCAGCTGGTTGTAATTATGCGTTGCAGCTTCAGAGGAAGTTGCTGGCTGGGAGCGTGTGCTGGGCCTGGCTGCACACTGGCTGCTGGGCTTAAGGGAACAATGGAGATAGAAACCAGTGGCAGCAGGGGAAAGGGAGGAGCAGAACGCAGAGAAGACAAGCAGAAAGAAAGGGCGAGCTTCTTCCAAGGCTGCATATGGAGAAACCGAGTCTGCACTCCAAGGATCCCTGCCCTTTAAAACAGTCTGTGCCCCTCTATGAGCAGCTCCCTGACTTTTTTTTTTTTTAAAGCCATACCTGCTGAACACTGTATTTTGAGAAGTGTGCCTGGCTGACATATTGAATACCACTCCTCAGCCTGTTCAATCCAAATTGACTGCATCTTTGTAGCAGCTGGCCACAGGGAAAAACAAAAGGACTCGTGATGAAAAAGGCAAATCTCTCTTGACTAGAAAGTAGAGCGGAGGCAGCAGCAGGTAAATATTTCCCCACCTTGCTAAATGCTGTGCCCAGATGCTTACGTCAGGAGGGAAAGGAAAAAAGACAACTTTACGAAAGTGAAATGTGGGTTAATTAACAAAATTTTTTTTCCTGCATGGAGAAAAACTTATTAATAATGTCTGTTTTTTAATACTTTGCAAGATTTCTTCAGTGCTTACTAATTTGAACAAAGCAGGAAAATGAACCCAAACGAAGGGGGTGGGAAATGGGGGGGGGGGCTGCCTTCCGGGCCACAGTGTGGGAAGCGATCTTGTCCTCACATATGTGTGCAGCCCTGTGTCCTCCACACAGCCTCCCCGTGTCTCCTGCCTCCCTTCTCTCAGGAAGTTGCCTGCAGCACCCACATGGCTTAGAGCCCCCAGCACAGTATGATCAGAATGCCATGTTTTTGCCAGCTCAGGGAACAATTTCAAGGCCCCAAATCAGACAAGTGAACAGGCCTGAGATCCCTGTGGTCTCTTGATGATCCCTCTCCACTTGTACAACTCCAGATTTATGTCACTTTAAAAGGGCAGCTGTCCCACCTGGTACTGGGCACTGTTGATGTACAAAAGTGACATGATCCCTCTCCACTTGTACAACTCCAGATTTATGTCACTTTAAAAGGGCAGCTGTCCCACCTGGTACTGGGCACTGTTGATGTACAAAAGTGACAGCCACACTTAATAAGTGATGCATTATTGTCTTGGACTGGTAAATGAGGAGGCAATTTCATTACCTTACCCGCTTGTCCACTGCCTAGCACAGGATTACTTGAAATGCTATCAGTAGGTGTGAATGCAGGGAAGTGCCAGCCCATATATGGGCAGGGATGTGCCAACCCAAATTTGGGCATGGTAGCCTTATTCCCTAATGATTAAAGAAAATAAATGATGGTACTATTCTCTTTAGGACTGATTGCTAGGATCTCCTTATTATTATTATCCTTGGGTGGAGATATTATGGTGACAAGTTGAAAGGATTTTTCCAATAGGGTCCAAGAAGGCAATCTTCTCGTTCTTCCAAATGAGCTCTTCCATTTCCTAAACACACACACACACACACACACACACTCACACACACACACGAGTTATTTCCTAGAGCTACACTGTTTAATTACAACAGCCCCTAGCTATTGATGACAATTTAAATTAATTAAGTAAAATGGAAAACTCAGGTTTTCAGTCATCCTAGGAATAGTTCAAGTGCTCAGCAGCCAAGTGTGGTTAGGGGCTACCGTATTGAACAGGACAGCATAAAGAATGTTTCCATCACTGCAGAAAGTTCTATTCGCCTGTCCTGGAGCATCTGTTTGCTTTTGTATCTCAGGACTCTTGTTCCTTTCAGAACTCTCTACCAATAATTTATATAAAGGTGAAATTTTTTTTTCTTTAAACCACAACTTCAAGCTAATCAGATTCCTGTAGGGTCCTAAAGAAAAGCTCCCATCCACTGTGCTGGTCGGACCTTTTTGAATAGTTAGTTAAACAAGGTATGACACTGCAGACCCTGAAAGGACATAAGGTAGGCAGGATTAGTTTCAGGCAGTTTTGACCCTAACTTAATGCTTTAGATAATTTTCCTAGACAGTTCTTAATCATAGCTAGAAGGAGTCCCTGGGAGGCTAAGTGGCAAGTCTAGAAAGCTACCAGGGCAAGTCCATAAAAATTTGCACAATAAATAGAGAGTAATAGCTCCTTTAGAACTGCATGGTTTGCGGCACCGCACATTCCTTTGAAGTTAGGAGGAGATGCAGAGAGCAATGAGCACTTTGATGCAGCTGGAAGCACCTTCAAAGCTTCCCGGGGAGAAATTACAACAACTACCAGTAACCGATTGTTCAGGTCCTTTGTGCATGTAGTGGTGGGGGCAGGGATTGGACCACACAAAAATTAAACAAATA